GGTTTTGGCTTCTAGCTTTTCTTTCCAGAAAGAGAACCAGTGCATCTTCTTTTTGCATTTGTTTCAATTTGGTAACAGCTCTCAATTTTCACACAGGTGTAACTGAGCTACCCTGGCAGAGATGATTAGACTGTCACATTTTTACAGGTGGGGAGTTGGGTGGGAGCAAGTTTTTTTGGTATTTATGTTTTTGTTCTTTGCTTTAAGTAACAGCTGACCCAGTGCAAGAACAGCAGGTTAGTGGCTGTGCTGTGTCAGCCCTTGGAAACACCAGCATGTGGGGAGTGCAGTCTAAGACCAGCTCGGCCCTGGTAGTTTGAGGCTGCCATGTGCCTGGAAAGTGGGGAGGAGTGGACCCTGCAGTCACTGACAACAGGAGCTCAGCCCCTGTGAACTTTTAACCTGCGCATTGCTGCTCCCTGATTCCTCCAAACAGAGCTGAGAAACCATATTTTATCTTTATCCATCCAATTACTCATCCATTAATGAAACCAATAAAATCAATTGCAATTCCAAATTTCATGTAATCCCCAGTCCACGTTCAATGTTCCCTAGTTATCTCAAAACCACCTTTTTCCAAGTAGTTTCTTCAAATCACAGACCATATCTGCAAACAATATGTACACATTGCATATGGATGATGTTTCTTAAGTCTCTTTCCATTTATAACAGTCATGGGGATTTGTGTCTTGCATTATTCTTTTAGTTATTAAAAAGTTGTTTATGTATTCACTGAGTAGGCAATGCTTGTGAAAAGGTGAAAGTAAAATTCCAAAATATTACAAAATAGGCACAGAATGGGGGTGTTTGACTTAGCAGTTGAGACATGGGTTAAGGGGCCAGCACTGTGGTGCAGCAGGTTAAAGCCCTGGCCTCAAGCGCCAGCAACCCATATGGGTACCGGTTCAAGACCTGGCTGCTGCGCTTCCGATCCAGCTCTCTGCTGTGGCCTGGGAAAGCAGTAGAAGATGGCCCAGCTCCTCGGGCCCCTGCACCCATGTGGGAGACCCATTAGAAACTCCTGGCTCCTGGCTTCGGATCAGCTCAGCTCTGACCATTGTGGTCATTTGGGGAGTGAACCAGCGGAATGGAAGACCTCTCTCTCTTTCTGGGTCTACATCTCTCTATAACTCTGTCTTTCAAATAAATAAAAATAAATCTTAGAAAAAGACGTGGGCTAAGAAGCCTGTATCCCACCTTGGAGTACCCGGGTTGTACTTCCGGCTCCAGCTCCTGATTCTTGCTTCCTGCTAACATGGACCCTGGAAAGCATCCATGATTGCTCAAGTAACTGGGTCACTGCTGGCCACATGGGAGACCTGGATTGAGTTCTGGGTTCCTGGCTTCAACACCCAAGCCATTGCAGACATTCTGGGGGAGAGAACCAGCAGATGGAAAATCTCCTTGCTTTTCTCTCTCTCTCCCCCCTCACTCCCCCTCTCTCTCTCCTCCTTCCCCTCCTCCTCCCTACCTCTTTCTCTCTCCTCCATCTCTCCCTCCCTCTCAAATAAATATTTTTAATAATTAAAAGAATAATGAGGAGGAGGAGGCCCAAGGCTCCTTCTGGGACCCTTCTCAACTCCACAGCTCCTCCTTAGGTGACATCCACTCCAGTGAGTTTTAATACCAGGGCCCAGACTAGGATGAGGCCATGGAGGCAGCGAGCACGGAACCTTTGAGACATACACTCTGGCCTCACGCAGATGAAGGGCTGGCCCCCAGTGCTACCTGTATTTATACACTCTACACCCTGGGCACCTTGCTTGCCTCAGCTGGTCTCAGCCCTGTTTGACACTCAGTTTTCTCCCTGGGCCCTCTGGCAGATAAATCCTACTTGCTATCTGTACTTGAAGATCTTAAAGGCAGCTCAAACTCAGAATAGCTAAAACAGAATTCTTGCTTCACTTCCTGCCTGGATACCAAAACGTGTTCCTTCTGCTTGTTTACAAAGGGTCTTTGAAATGTCGGTGGAAAATGCATATTATGAAAAACTATGCACGACTTCCATTTTTTTGCACCAAAATAAACTTATCTTTTAACTCCATTTTCCACAAACTTTTTGAAGTACCTTCGTATCTCAGCTACCAGCATGACCATTGATTTGATGGCTCAAGCAAAAGTCTGGCAGTGGGGGCTGGCACTGTGGCTCAGAGGGTTAACACCCTGGCCTGAAGCTCCAGCATCCCATATGGGCGCCGGTGGTTCTAGTCCCAGCTGCTGCTCTTCTGATCCAGCTCTCTGCTATGGCCTGGAAAAGCAGTAGAGGATGGCCCAAGTCCTTGGGCCCCTGCACCTGCATGGGAGACCCAGAAGAAGTTCCTGGCTCCTGGCTTTGGATTGGTGCAGCTCTGGCCACTGCGGCCATCTGGGGAGTGAACCAGTGGATGGAAGACCTCCCTCTCTCTGTAACTCTGTCTTTTAAATAAATAAAACAAATCTTAAAAAAAAAAAAGTCTGGCAGTAATCCTTGAGTCCTCTCTTTTGACAAATCCTATCTTCTCTCAAACCTGACAGCCTCCCACCACCCTGGGCAAGACTCCTGTCTCTAGCTCTGCAAATAGCTTCCCCCAGGTCTTCCTGCCCCCTGCTGTCCTCTGCCACCCCCTTGGAGTCACCACTCGGCAGCCAGAGTGGCGTTGGGACATCAGCAAGAAGATGGTGTCACTCTCCTACCTAGGGCTCCCCAGCAGCTTCCCGGTGAATTTAGAATAAACACTGGACTCCCTATCAGCATCTCATCAGCCAGCAGGCTTCGTGTGCTGGCTCAACTCTGCTGCCCTGTGCTCCTTCTCCCAGGAGAGCTCCTCCCCTGGCTCTTTCGCGCATCTTCCTTCTCAGCGTTCAGGTTTCAGCTCAAGTGTCCTGACCATCCCATCCACGCACCAGCTCATTCCAAACCCCAGTTCCCTGTCTTACTGGACCACAGCAGCTGTGACCACGTGCAAGCACAGCCTTCCCTAGGTATCTGTGGACACTGAGCCAGTGAGGGGCAGCCTGATGAACTGGGGAGGCGAAAGTGGGATTGTTCTGTGGGGATCAGATCACTGAACCCATGGAATCCTGGTAGGGAGTCTGGTCTTTACTGTAAACTTATTCTAAATTCATCCCTGCTTGGATAGCAAAATCCATGAATGCTCCAGTCCCTGGCATAAAAAGGTGTGGCATTTGCTTCTAACCTATGCACATCTTCCCACACCCTTTGTCATCTCTAGATCACTTACAATGCCTACTAAAGAGTAAATTACACATCAGTACTTGTTATACTGTATTGTTTAGAGAATACCAACAAGAAGAGAAAAGTCTCTGTGTGTTCAAAACAGATGCAATTTCTTTTCTGAATATTTTCTATCCACGGCTGGTTGCACCAGCAGCTGCGGACATGGAGAGCTGACCATGTCTTATCATTCCCACTGCATACCAGCCCTCCACAAAGTTCAGGGGCTTAAAACAAAAATGCACGAATTCAGCTGTGCAATCCTCGCGTGGGTCTCTCTTCCCTGCCCTGGCAGTTAGCCAGCGGCTGGGCTGCAGTCATCTGGAGGCTTTCCTGGGTGGACATCCAAGGCAGCTTCCTCTCCCACGTCTGCTGCCCCAGGGCTCCTCCAGGGGTCTGCACTTCCTCCACCGCAACTCAAACTGCCAAGAGAAAAGCGGCAGAAGCTCCTGGTCCTCTTGTAGGCAAGACCTGGAACTGACGCCCTGGAGTCCTGCTGGACGCAGCAGTCATGGGCCAGCCCACGTTTAAGGGGACTGAGAAAGAGACTCTGCCTCTTAAAGGGGAAGTGAGGTGTGGAAGGGGGGAAGTTACTGATAGTGACCATCCTTTTGGTGGTTAATTGATGAGAAAGAGAGAATGAATGAATGAATATTATGTTCCCATCTGCTGGTTCATTCTCCAAATGCCCACAGTGGCTGGTGGCCAAAACCTGGAGCCAGGAATTCAATCCAGGTCTGCCACATGGGTAACAAGAACCCAATTTCTCAGGCTGCCTCCCAGGGTGTGCATGACTAGGAAGCTGGAATATGGAGAGGAGCTGACTCAAACCCATGCACCCCAACAGGGGCATCCTAACAGTTAGGCCAAGTGCATGCCCCATATAGAGGTCATCTCTGGGGATAAGTTCTCTCAAGCATTTGTTTGCTTCCTTGCCTCTGGTCTCCACTCCTGTGAGGTTATAAATCCCATGAGACAAGGGGGACTTCACCTTATTTTAAGTGCTACTTATAGCACCTAAAACCATGCTTGGTACCTAGTAGGGACTGAATAAACAGAATTCTTGCTAAATCTCTGGACTCAACCGCCCCAGACTGGTCTTGCTGGCACAACTGATGCCAATGCTTTACCAGAGAAGAGAAACCCTCCATTTAGAAAGTCTCATTTCCTCTGCTAACAAGAACCTGCCCTGAACACAAAATCTAGAAACAGGTTGGCATGTTTTCTAAATGGGAAATATGTCTTACAGCACCAGAAATTATTTTCCCACAGCTTTGTGCCACATAGAAATATTGAAGTTAACAGAAGATATCCCATTCTTTAATCTTGGTGTGGGCTTGAAACCATTTTGAAGGGGTAGGGGTGGGGAACAAAGCAAAAGCAAAAACCTGATGTTTGAATTCCCCCAGATATCCCCAAACTTAAAATGCCATTAAAGTTAAAATAGATTTTTTTAAACATTACTGAGAACTGTCATTAAAAGTTTGATAATCAAAATGTATAGTTTTGGGTTATAAAATCAGCATTGTTTATTTAAGTAATTACATGTGACTAAGGGCAAGAAAAAAAGTCCTCAAATCCCCCTTCTTCTAGTTTTTAATGGTGATTCCAGAAAATGATTCTATCTTTAAACCTTTTTGTAAATCCCTTGTAAATTAGTAAGTGAGAATGTACTAATCAGAAGGATTTTAGCGATTTTTAAATTAAAAAAGAGGGATTTAATTTTTTAATTATACTTGCAGAGTGCTGCTAATAAAATGTCTTCTAATTCTTGTTTTATCTGCAGTTTTCCCAGATTTGCTCAAAGCAATCCCAGTGAGCATCCATGTCAATGTCATTCTCTTCTCCACAATCCTTATTGTTCTGACCATGGTGGGGACAGCCTTCTTCATGTACAACGCTTTCGGCAAACCCTTTGAAACTCTGCATGGTCCACTAGGGTTGTATCTTTTGACTTTCATTTCAGGTAAGTACAAAGTCCTGTCTTTGAAGACAAATACGTACATACATGAATGTTCACTGAAGCATTATTATCTGACAGCAAAAAGTGGGAGATATCCTAATTATCCAAAAAAGGGACTTCGATAATTACATTACTGTAGTTTATATGAATGACTGTGGTGCTGGCACTAATCATATCTTTGTAGGTAATATAGAAATTAAAAGCACAGGCCGGCGTCCCAGCTCACTAGGCTAATCCTCCGCCTAGCGGCGCCAGCACACCAGGTTCTAGTCCCGGTCAGGGCGCCAGATTCTGTCCCAGTTGCCCCTCTTCCAGGCCAGCTCTCCGCTGTGGCCAGGGAGTGCAGTGGAGGATGGCCCAAGTGCTTGGGCCCTGCACCCCATGGGAGACCAGGATAAGTACCTGGCTCCTGCCATTGGATCAGCGCGTGCACCGGCTGCAGCGCACCACCTGCGGCGGCCATTGGAGGGTGAACCAACGGCAAAGGAAGACTTTTCTCTCTGTCTCTCTCTCTCTTTCTCACTGTCCACTCTGCCTGTAAAAAAAAAAGAGAGAGAGAGAAAGAAAGAAAGAAAGAAAAAAAGAAAGAAAGAAAGAAAAAAAGAAAGAAAGAAAGGAAGAAAGGAAGAAAGGAAGAAAGAAATTAAAAGCACAGTGGTGGTTGCCAGAGGCTGGGGAGGGAGCTGGGAAGGGAGAATGGGAGAAGGTTGGCTGGTGAGTACTCCTGAGAGCTGCATAGGAGTAAGATGTTCCGGGTTCTCTTGCATAGTAGGGTGACTATAGATAATGGTAATGCACTTTATATTTCTCTACTTAAAAAACCTAGAAGGTAGAGTTTTGGATACTTTCACTATAAAAACAGGTTGAATGCTTGAAAGGACAAATATGTTTACCTTGATTGGATATCACACAATATATATGTGTAACAAAACATCACATAGTACCCCATAAGTATGTAAAATTTTTATAACCCTGTTAAAACTTTTTTAAAATGAAAAATAAAGGCAAAACAAAAAATTATATTTTTTAGGATATAATCAAAAGGATAAATAAAAAATTAAGAAAGCAGTATATAAGATTTTAAACGTTATGAATGCAATTTGATTACATATTAAAATACAGATTTGTATGTGAAATGCATTTTGTATATATGCATATATGCAGTATATATGTGTGTATGAATATGGAGACTGCAGCTAGACACTGTGCTCCATTAGCTGCTGTTATCTCTGATCAGGGAAGCCTTGGGTGATTTGAATTTCCTTCACAGTTATCCATATTCTTAAACATTTGATATTGTGCTTTTAAAGTTCATAATCAAAATAATAAATAAATGCCATCCCTAAAAAAGAGTAAGAAAACAGTGTTCTACCTGCACGAGTTGCTATATTCAGGTTGGTAGGTACATGGTGTAGCTTAACGGTAGGAGGGTCAGGACAAGGATAAACTCCAAACCCAGAAATTACTTCGCTGATAAACACCTGCCACTCAATAACCAGGGCTGCTGCGAAAGAACATAAAACCCAGTCCATGCCCCAGGGTGCTTACAACAGATTTAAAAGGTGGAGAAGGAGAAAGATAAGAAAATGAAAAATACACAGAATTCACATGTAGATGCTCTTCTACAGGTAGTCTCTGTTTTCACCTTATTCCAGACTTGCAAAATGGCTCAAACGGGTTGTCATATTCCTCAGAGGCAAGTAATTTTATTGATGATGTCCTGGAGAAAGATTACAACTTAACAATACAAAGAAAATTCCTGGCTGTTTCTTCTCCCCTAAAGTTGCCCTTTGCCTTCTGCCCCCAGGCTCCCTTCTCTGGTCCCGACTGTGCACCTGGCCTCTCTATAGAAAAAGTGCTACAGTTACTAGGTGGCTTTGGAGGCTCTGTTCATTGTTATTTGAGCACATGTCCTAGAATCTTACCCAATTCATGTCTCGCTAACCCAGTCATTCACCCAGGCAAGGCAGATGTCTCTCTAGTGTGGATTCTGCTAATTTGCTCTCTGCAATTTCCTAAGAATAGAATACAGTTGCACCTACTATAGATAATGATTAGCCTATGAGGGTAGGGGCCAAGTGTTTCTCATCTCTGTATCTCCAGCAGAAACATCCAGCTTGAAGCTTTGCACACAGTGAGCAAGTCCATATGAGGAGTGAACCAAAAGCTTCATGGACAATGCATTTTATAAGAAAGAGATGCATGGAAAACAATCTTTGCACCAAAATAAACTTAATCTCTTTATTCCATTTTGTAAAAATATTTTGAAGTGCTGTTGTGTGTATCTGTGGACTTGAGAAAACAATCCCAGGAAGGAGACGTCAACACTGTCTCCTGCAGAGTAAAGGACAGAATTCCAGTGACTTGGAATTAGCAGAGCAGGCCTAGAGAGGTAGTGGGACATGGGCTAGAGAGGAAAGCAATGAGACACAACAGCAAGCACTCGGGTGCAGGGTGTGGGCAGGCAGGCCAAGTCAGCGATTCAATCTCCGGGGAAGGTCCAAGCCAGAAAGTGAGGGGATTGCTTCCCCCAACCAAACCTCCCAAACCAAACTGGTGGATGGGGCCGGCGGGGTGTTATTTTCAGTGCACTCCTTGAATCACCTGGCTCCTAGCTAGACAGCAAAATGCACACTGCGTCGACAGAGAAAACACACCGTGTACCAGCGGTCCTGAGTCCCCAGAGAGCAGCATGGGCATCACCTGGGATCGTGATAGGAAAGCCACTTCTCAGGCCGCATCCCAATCTACGGGGTCAGAAGCTCGGGCGTTCAGCCCAGCCCCCTGTGTTTTAAGAACCCCTTCAGTTGATTTTGATGCAAACTCAAGTTTGAGTTCTAGGGAATTGAGGAAATAAGTGTTTGAGGACTGGGAAAAAAAAAAAAAAAGGAGACCTTGGGTAGGATCCCATCAGGATCCCTCATGGATCCCATCCCTGGGGCTTGGGGATCAAACAAGAGACTGGGGGTTACCAGAACCTGGAAGCTGGAAGGGAGGCCCCAGGACCCTGAGTCCTGCCTCTGTTGGGATGCAGTGAGGAGCTGGACACACCCCATTGCTGCTTCCAGGGCTGTGATATTGGGGAGAAGAACACACTCCCCTCACCTCTCCCCACAGGGCCCACTTTCGGCAGAGCTCATGACAAAGCAGCTGACAAGGCAGGCCTAGTTTGGGGAGCCTTGATCCAGCGTTTCAAAGCAGAGTGAAGAAAAGCTGGCTTGAAGCCAGGACACGCCAGCTTCTTCCCTGGCCCAAGCATCCAGCACCCCAGCTCCTGAATGACATTCAGAACAGTAGCCCATTGGAAAGAGAGATTATTTGACAGCTCTGATGGACGACCACACTAACGGTATTTGAAAAGCAAGATGATTCAGGGAGTGCAGAATTTAATGCAAGTCCCAGATCTCATCTCGGCCTTTGGCCAAGTCTAACGCCAGGAGAACCTGAGCAAACACAGGCATGCAGGAAGGATCGGACACTGCACCTACTCCCTCATCTCATTTATCAGCAAACTCGCTGTGAGGGTGGGTGTTCGGGAAAGGTTTGTGAATCAGGGAAGGCAGGGAGAGATGGGGAGAAGGTAAGCAAGCAGCCGGCTGGAGAGCTGTCTTGCAGAGAATGAAGGTCTAGTGCTTGCAGATCCCAGGGCTGTTTTTTTTTTTCCAAGTCTCCAATCCTAATTTTTAAATTACAAAATTTTCAATAATTTTTAAACACTGTGTCTAACAATCAAAACATGTTTGAGAGTCAGAGCTACTCACAGTCTGTGACCGAGGGTTAACAGGTGTCTCTTGACTAACAGACTAACTTGGCCCTCCTAAGTCCATATATGGCACCTGGAAGTCCCCTTGAGCTCCAGGCCTGTTTCTCTAAAGTTGTGATAATTGTGCAGACCCCAGCTCTACACCCTGATTGGATCAGGGAAGGGTTCTTAACCATGCACATGTTAAATGCCAGCCAATGCATGGCACACTCAAAGGCCAGAGACTGCACTGGTGGGGGGGGTCACAACAAGAGACCCCAGGAGGTAGCTCTCTGCCATGGGTGCCTCTCACAGGCGTGCACGCCCAGGTGATGTCAATCACTGTTAGCAGGTAAAACTCCTCCTCCTCTTCCCCTCCCCCTCGTGCTGCCTCCTCCTTTGCTCCCTCCCGCTCACCTCTGGGTCCTGAGCGTTCCCCTTCCCTGGGCTAAAATCATCCCAGGACCACTTAGTTAGCCATGTCATTCCCTGCTGGATGGGGACCCACACCCTGGCACCCGGAGGCTTGCAGAAGGGGGAAGGGAAGGGAACACAGGTCTCCCACATCATCTGTCTGGAATCTGCCGCCCAGAGCAGCCCACGGAGGGAGGAACAGAAAGGATAACCCATTGGATCAGGCAAGCAAGGGCTTCAGCCACCACAGCTTGCCTCACCCTTACATCCTAATGAGCTGCTGCCTCCTGGGCCAGGTGCCCCTCCCCCTGCTCACAACCTCCAGTTTGGCTCCTGTACCCCAGCCTCGGCCATGCGACATTTCTGATCCTCGCTGCAAGGAACCATGCAAGTCCAGTCATTTGCCCTTCTCATCTTGTCATGTATAAGCCCAGCTCTGTGAAATCTTTTCCCTAAGGTTGCACTTAAATACCTCCACGGTTCCCTATAATTCATTTTGGGCAGGGATTCTCTCCCAGGACTGTACATTCAAACCACTTGAAGAACTTCCTGAAATCCCGATTCGAGTCCCACGCCACACTGATTCAGCTGCAGTCGGCTCTGGTCTTTTGTTTAGCTCTCGTGGGTGATGCTACCTTGTAGACAGTGATGAGGACCACTGACACAGGTAATACATTTCATCTCTTTGCAAACACAGTGCCTACTGTGTGCTGGCCATTATAATAGGCACTGGTGATACCACAGTGATCACACACAGTCTTACCTTCCTGGTGCTTGAAACCAGTGTGAGAGTTGGACAAAAGTGTACACCGATGAGTGAATGATCACAGATGACAATCATTCCAAG